GCAGGAGCTGTGCGACGACACCGGGAGGGACGACGAGGAGATCTCTACGTGGCCGGTGGAGACGTACAACTACGTGGACGAGTGCTTCTACGACGACAAGGATGAAGCTCAAGATGAGGACTACGTCGAGGCATTCTACACGGAAGAGCTAACGGACAACTACCCGATGGAGAGGAGTGGCGCGCAGAGGACCATCCAGATACCTGACCAAGTTGTAGTTCTGTTTCAACTCTGTGCACTTGCAGTGTATGGAGTTTGTCTTTCGCTGTCTCCTACGGTGGTGACAGTAGTCTCTATCATCGCGGGTATCATCAAATTCATCTACATAATGCAGCCTAAGCAGAACGACGACGAGGACACCGCAGAGCCGATGGAGGTGGATAGTTCAAGCAACGACAACCTCTTCAAGCCAGAGTTGCCCGAGAAGCCGGTCAAGGTCAAATCCAGGACGGCGAAGGCTACGCCGAAAGCTACGACGACAACACTCGCAGTACGAGCCGAGCCAGAGACCTACGACGACGAGATCATGGGAGATGGACCAATCATGCTGGGAGATAGTGCTCTACTGCGGCAGTGGCTGGAGACCATGGGACCGACGATAATCAGGAGTGGCAAGTACGAGGGCGACAGCTACGAGACGATCTATGCGAAGGATGGGCACTACGCAAATTGCCTAGGACGGTGTCTCAAGCTGGACGCCGACGAGAGCAGGAGCTATAACCTCGACCCAAGCATCAAAAGCTACATTGCATACAACATCATCAAGTCAGCAGTGCGTGTACGCTGAACCCCACTACCACATATGCGACGATATCTTTGAGCCAGCCATGGCAGTGGCTCAGATGTGAACGGTAGTGAGGATGTGTGAGAGTTGCATTTGGATTACTATTTACAGATGATGAGTGAAAGCACCCCCTCTAGAGCTCAGGTAAAGATTTTTGTATCTTGCACGGACGGTAGCTTGACCGTTCGAGCCGATAATATTATTGAATATTCTAGAAGCTTGCTGCAAAATTTGCCAAGGCATTCTCTAGCAACGTTTCCTTTTCTTGTGTGAAAGTTGTATGAGCAGGGATGTGAGATATAGGATGATAATTAGAATTATCTCTGCTGCTGCTCTCGCTCTCTCATGCTTGCACTCTCTTGTTCACCGCGGCCGTTTTAGCCGTTTTGGCTGAACAAGGAGTCCGATTTGTCAGTCCAAACCACAACCACTGCCATGTGAGAGCCACCAACACGCGCCAAACCAGCGAAAATGACGGAGGCGTCGCTGGTTGGCTGCAATCGCGAGCTGCACCGTGACAGAATTGCAAGGCGATGCCGCTACATATGTAGCAGCAGCGGACAGCAGAAGAGATTATAACAGCAAACTGATGGCTGCCCCTGCACCGACAACGGTCTACAGCCCTTTAACAGCGTGACCGTGGCCCACGGCATCAGAGACGCCGTCGTCTGTTGTACAAAATCATCTCGATGAGGAAGAATGACGAGGAGGAGGAATAGGAGGGAGCGGCATGGCTGACTTCATATGGGCTTTCAGCTCTTCGAGGTCCCGCTTGATGAGCCTCAGCAGCGCTAGGTTACGAATGATCTCCAGGGAAGGGTTGTCGCTGAGCAGCCACGCCATACCCTCAAAGAACTCCTCGATAGTCACCTCGTTGTTGCCGTCCGCGTCCACTGCATGAAATAGGTCAGAAAGAGAGTCCACATTGAGGATGTTCGCCAACTCATTCTGCACTTCACGGGGAGCACGTTGCAGCTCTCTGAGGGAGAGTTGGCCGTTGCCATCCGCATCCAGCGCGCTGAAAATATTCCTCAGCTTCGGCCTCAATTCTTGCATGCGATGTTCGCTCCACAGACGTTGCGTTTCATGGTCGTTCTTTAGATTCTCTCTGACGGCGTCAATCGTCACGGCCGTAATCAAGTTCATGAGGATGACGGACACGAGCAGGAGGAAGGGCATGAAGAACAATACGAGCCAAGAGTCTTCATGGATCATCGGTGTATATATTGCCGACGCGGCGTCCAACGTGGTAAGCTGGACCAGGGTCAACATAATCGTCGGAAGCGAAGACCAATACTGGTCCACCAAGTCTTTGAAATTCCCTTCCGCAGAGCCCTTGGAATGATTTGTGATCACCTCCACGCCCACGCACGAGAATACGAAAATGGTCACCAATAAGACGAGAAATATGTTCACGAGTACGATGAAAGATGAGGACAAACCGGACACTAACATCCAGAGACTCCGAAACTGTGCAAACAAACGTAATGCCCGAGCGACACGTGCCAAACGAAATATGCGGAAAAACAATATACCAGGCAGGAGCTGCGTCACAGATTTTCCAATAATCAGAGCAACAACGGGCAAGAACCAACTATCAATAACACAGACGACTACGAGGACAAAATCAAACTTCACCCAAGCGCGCCGCAAACACCGTGTTCCGCTTCCGCAGAAGCGGCACGCAAGCTCCACTACGTAGATGATGAGAAATATGGTCTTCAAGATCACGAAGAAGAACCTCGTCTCTGGAGTCCCACTGTCTGGGGACGGCTGCATTGTGAGCTCAGCGCCAATGCACACAGAATTGAGCACGATCACCGTGCTCATGACCATATCGAACAGCGGGTGGCTCACTAGATCGAGGCAAAACTGGCGAGGCAGCCCCAAATAGCCTCGTTGCATTCCCACCGACGCAGCTTGGGCATGCTCTGTGACGGCCTGGAAACTAAGCTTCTGCAGTGTGATGTTGGTATTCAAGCCGATCTGTGCGATGCGTGGTGCACGTCTCCTCTCCTCGTATATGGATGGCCTGGCTTCTGTCTGTCTTGCCTGGCTTCCCTCCTCGTAGTACTGGGAGCTGGCGGTCATGCGCACGGCATTTCTGCGGACGCTGGCAAACCTCACGTCTTCGGGCACCTGGAGCCCCGACTGCCCCGGCATCCGCGGCGCCTGCGCGGCGGGGCCGCCGCCCATGTGCCTCTCTAGCTGGTCCAGCTTCTCGAGCACGGCGCGCTGGTGGTCGGCCTGGGTGCTCTCGATCGAGAGCAGGAGCCCGAACATCTCCTCGTAGAGGTGCTTGCTGTCGCTGCGGAAGTCCTCCTCTCTGTTGCTGCCCGGCCCCTGTGCTCGGCAGGTTCTGCCGGCCGGGCCGTCCTCGTGCACGGCGGGCGAGGCGCGAGGGTGCTGCGCTTCAGCCTCGGATTGGGGAGGTTCTGGACCGCCGTCAATATGCTCAGCAGACCTGGAGGAACGAACGCGGATTGGCGGCATCACCCGATGATAGAGGTCAGCGAGAGTACGTATCCTTCGAGCCTACCTGGAGTGGGGCGGCGTGGACTGGCCTCAGCTGACTCCTGAGCCACGATCATGCGAGTCAAGATCCCCCCCAGATGGGGCGCACAGTCCTGGCGCAAGCCCGAAACTTACTGAAATTGCTCGCATGCAAACCCGATCGGACCTGGCCTGCGCTCGGTTGGTCACTACCAGTGCACACGTCGTCTTGGCCTGACCAGGAAGGCACATGGACCGACACTGAACCCCAAATCGGCCTGCACAGAAACGGTGTTGGTGTACTGCCTCCCTCCCCTCGCGGAGCAGGCGCCGCTTGCCTCCTGTCTGGCCTGGCCCTCCTCCCAGCGGTATTGCATTTCGAGATCTCGGCAGCCGCGATGGGGAAGGATGGGGGGGGGGGGCTCAGGGGGGGAAGAGCGATGACCCTGAAACAGGCGCAAATCGGCGAGAGACCCTCCGCAGCAGAACCGCACGCTCCTGGGCGGGGTGGGGCACCGCAGGCCCCGATCGGCGAGAAATCTGGGATTCGGACTCGTTTCCTGGGGCCGATGCCTCCAGACCTCCTCGCGCCGCGAAACAAGCACGACGGACAACTCCTGGGCTCCCTCGGCCTCTGGGGACCCCCGCGGGGCCTGGAGCCGCCACCAGGACGACTCGGGATGCATCGCGGGTCCCGGGGAAATGGCCCAGACCCGCGGGGGCCCACGCTGTGACAAGTTCATGACGCTGGAGGTCCTGGCCCCCCCTCCGAGGCGACGCCCCCCCCCCCCCCTCCCCATCTCTGGCACGAGGCAGACGGGCCCTGAGGCAAACTGGTCCTGGGCCCCGGGGCCTTCCCCCAAGACCACTTTCTCGTCCGGAGCCGTTCTCTGGCAGTCCCAGGGCCCGTGGAGGGCCTCGCAGGCCGAACCTGGTGAAGAACCTCAGGACCCAGAGATCCAGGCATCCGACATCTCGACTTTTTCTATGCGGGGTCCCTGGAAGTCCCGACCCTTTCCCCAAGGCTGCTCTTGCGTTCCGAATCTTGACGGTCCCGGGGCCCAATGGGGGCCCCCAGAGGCCGAGAACGGCCAAAAACTTCCGTCGTGATTCTTCCACGACTCGAGCATGTCTGGGTCAAGACCACTTTGCTTCATGGCCCCCTCTTTTGGCATCCCCGACAGCCCCCGGCTCCGGACCCAGCGAGCGGCTGAGCGGAACACGCGAGCTTCCGCGCCTCCCGCTCCTGGCGGCGGCGGCGCTCTTCGGGGCGGTTCTCGCTGCCATGTGAAAAGTCAAAGGGGGACAGGCTCAGGGGGGAACATCGACTTGGAATCGGGGATGCATCGCTGACAGATCGGCGATAGGCTCCCCGATGGCGAATCCGCACGTTCCTGGGTTGGGCGGGCTACCAGGCCCCTATTGGTGATCAGTGGGCGATTGGGGGGCGATGCATCTAACCTCTCACCTTGAAGACCATGTGCTTATCGACGAAGCTCGTCAGCACGTGCGACAATGTCGCACGTGCTGACGAGCATTCTCTTCACCGCGTACGTGGACGCAGGGCCGGGGACAGGGGGCGACAAGCATGCAGTCTTGGAGCGAGTGCAGAAAGGTAAGGTGGTGGAGGTCAAGGGGGTGTACAAGGAGCTTGCAGACGTGGAAGTTCGCGCTGAACCGCTCAGTCATCCTCGACACCAGCCTGCCTGGCCCATCCATCCAAATGGCGGCCCTGAAGCAGACCGCGAGCAAGCTCCTGGACAGTGGCGAAGAGTTCAAGCACCGCTTCCTCGCGTTCCTGGTGCAGAACAACATCACGGCCGGGACGGTCAACCAAGCTCAAGTAGATCTTCTCTGGAGGTACTTGAGTGCCGAGGCTCGGGAGTACTCGGGCGACGTCAAGGAGAAGGACCTTCCTAATCCTTCGACGAAAGCGGCTCGAGCAGCAGCCGCCGCGGCCGCCGCTGCCGCCGCGGCCGCCAGCAAGGGCAAACCGACCAAGGGCGACCCGAAGGGCGGCAAGCCAGCCAAAGGCGGCCCGAAGGGCAAGCTCGGGAAGGGCAAGGAAGCCGCGGGAGGTAAGGGCGTGGCCATCTGCCCGCACTTCAACAACCTCGCGACGGGCTGCAGCGCGGGATGGCCATGCCCGATGCGCCGCTGCAAGTCGGATGGCGCCCGACTGGAGCCGACCGATGGGCGCTGCTTTAATTGCGGCGCGGGCGGCCATGGCGCGGCAGCTTGCCGCCGGCCGCGGAAGCCCAAGGCTCCGGCGAAGGCCGAGAGGGGCCAGGCGGAAGACCAGAACGCAGCCTCGGCAGGATCTCCATCGACTTCGGCCGCTTGCGCGGACGAGGCGGGCAGGCCGGCAGCCACTGGCAGGTCGGCAGCGGTTGCAACTCCGAGTCCCTTGACTACCAGCGACGTCAGCGGCATCGTGCGACAGGAGCTGAGGTCCCTCATGGAGCTTGGATCCTCCTCGGCAGTCCCTGCCGGGCGCGTTGTTCGATCTCATCGTCCCCGAGGCCTCGCCGACTTCTACGACGACGGCGATCACGAGTTCAACGATGTCCTCGATGTCCCTCCACCCCCGCCTCCCTGGAGTCCGTCTTCGGCCGCAGCCGCTGCTCCGCCTGATCGCGGTCAGCGTGCGTCTGCGCCGACAGCTGCGCCTGCCTCGACGGCAGCGCCCGCGCCAGCACCGGCCGCTTCGGCTCCGCCTTCGCGCGGGCAGCCGCGGATCGTGAAGGTGGTCGAGGTCTCCGACCGCCCGCGGGCGAGGAGGCTTCTGGCCAAGGGCGGCAAGCGCTGGATCCTCAAGGACACTGGCGCCACCCACGAGCTTCGTGGCAGCAAGTCCTTCAGCGACCTGCCTGAATGCGCCGCCCCCGTCCCGCTGGAGACGGCAGCAGGGGTGGAAGGGGCCATGATAGTGGGAGATGTCGTGTATGTGCTGGGTGAGGACCTCCAGTGGCTCTTCCCGTTGGGCAGCTACATCGACGAGATGAGCCTAGACTTTCACGGAGTTCCTCGGCATGCACCCTGAGCTGTCCAACGGGCGAGGTCATCACCCTGCTCCGCGAGAAGGGCGCGATCTACATTGAGGAGGGCGATGCAGAGCTCCTGCGCGATCGCAGGCGCCAGGCGAAGCGCGCCACCATAGATGGGCGCATGAGCACTCTCGCTGCTGGACTCCGTCGTCGTGAGCTGCTTCAGGAGCACATGGGCGGCGGGCACATCAGCGTTCGACCTACCTGCCCAGGCTGTCGTGGAACGCACGGTCGCCTTCGAGCCCATCGCCGTTTCGACGTCTCCACGAGGCCCGGAGGCCAGCTCAGCACTGACACTTCCGGGCGGCACCTCCCAGGGCGGTGGCCCTCCAGCCGCCCCGAGAACTCGGCGAAGCAGGCCGTTCACTTCCTTCTCGGGGCCTACGTCGTCGAGACTCTGGCTGCCAAGAGGGGCCGCGAGCGCCTGGAGTCGATCGCGAAGGAGAACGCGTTCGCAAGGCCCCCCACTCCCCAACCGTGAGCCGACGGCGCCGGGAGAGTCCGACACCGTTGCCGCCCCTCGACTCGACGCTGCGGTCGCGGGCGACTCCGTCGAGCAGGACACCGAGCTGGCGAAGAAGGTGGCGGTCATGTTCGGGGTGAAATCCTTCGGGGGCCTGGAGCTGCGGACGAATCATGTTGGGCTCAGCGTCTGCGTGCCCAACTTCGGCCCTTCGGCGCGGCCCGGCAGGCCGAAGCTCGAGCTTCCCGAAGAACAGGAGGAGAAGCTCTCCCCAGGCGGCGATCCCAGCATCGCGGCCGACGACGAGGTCGAGGACGAGAGCGGCATTATCTCCAGGACTTGGTACTTCTGCGTGCCGCTGGAGAGCCCCAAGGCCGCCAGTTGCATTCATGCTATCGAGTCTATCCTTGCCCAGCTTCGGATGGAGGACGAAGGGGCCAACATTTGCTACCGCATCCATGGTGATCGAGCTGGGAACCTCACGGGGACCAGATCAAGCGGCACCTCGAGGCGAAGAGCCCTCCGATAGCTGTTACTTCGACGCCGGGTTTCGAGCCCAGCTCGAATGGCCGGGCCGAGCGCGGGATCGGCGTGGTGAAGCTGAGGGCCAGGGCAATGCTCCTCTCCTTCAGCGACCCCCTGGACCGGCAGGCCTTGTGGGCGTGCGCCGTGCAGCATTCTGCGTACTGCTCCAGGATGCACGCACAGGATCGACCAGTGAAGTGCCCGGCTTTCGGTGCGAAGGTCTGCGCTCGCATCGAGGATGCCCCTTCGTCCATGTGGGCAGAGCGGGCGCGCGACGCCGTGTTCCTGGGCGTGGGCGCGGAGAGCAAATGGTTGATCGGGCGGAAGGACCTCGCCGCGAAACGACCTGAGCAGCGGTGGGTCATTGAGTCCTCGTCGTCCTTCGCAGTGGTGCCTGAGGACCCCGGTGGTGCTCAAGACGTTCGCGGCGAGGATCCAGGAGCAGGAGGAGCTCAATGGCATTGAAGAGGCGCCACCTGTTGAATCGACCAGCGCTGGATCTCCGGAAGGTGCACTTCATGTTGACCACGGTCTCGGAGGAGTCCTTGAAGGTGCTGATGCCCAGAGTTCCAAGAGCAGTGGCGACCCGAATGTGCCCCTGGAGCCCCCTCCACCCGCGGGATCATCGGACGACCATCTTCGACGACCTGCCCGCGCAGACGGTGACCGAGATGTGTTCGAGGTGGCGGTGCCGAAGGACATCGCTTGTCCTGCGTGCCGCGGCCTCCACGGCACGCACACTCGAGACGCGCGTTGCAGGCGCGGCCTCTCCTGAGCGACACCGGCGAGCAGCCCTTCGATCGCGGAGCTCCCGGTGGAGGATCTTCTTGCCCTGCCTGCCGCGGCCGACATGTCAAGCACACCAGGGACCACAGGTGCAGGCTAGGATCAGGAGGAGACAAGCATCAACGAGCTGCACTCGCAGGTTTCGGTCATCATGATGTTCCTGATCCTCGGCCTTCCCCTCGCATGGTGGAACATTTCGAATCTATTCCTGTGGCTTTTGCCACCGCGGCCCCGGGGCAGGTCGCCCTCACCGCGGACGACGACAATGCGCCTCCCGAGTTCACCAAGATCGTGAAGGGCAGCGGGCTGAGCATCGTCACGTGCGCGGAGATCGCGAAGACGATCGGGATGACTAGGGAGAAGTGGCGAGCAGCACTCGAGGGCGAGCTCAACAGCCTGAAGGGCGGTTGTCTTCGCCCCCTCACGGCCTCGGAGGCGCACTCTGTAAAGCCTTCCGAGATACTGCCCATGAAGGTGGTTGCGGGGCAGAAGGCTCCAGACGCATCTGGCTGTCGGCGCTTCAAGGCGCGCGGCTGCGTGTGCGGCAATTTCGAGGCGGTGGGCCCCTCGGAGCAGACCTTCACGCAGAATTTTGACATTGCCAGCCTCCGCATGGCGCTCGCCGTGTGCGCGCACCGTCGTTGGAGCGTGTCGGCCCTCGACGTCTCTACCGCGTTTCTGAACGCGTTCCTCCCCGTGGACAAGAAACGAGTGGTCATTCGCCCACCGGCCATCTTCGTCAAGTTCGGGCTGGTGCCGGCGGGCGAGCTCTGGGTGGCCGAGAGGGCCATCTACGGGCTGAGGTGCTCACCGAAGGCTTGGGGCGATCTGCGCAACGCGGAGCTCCGCAAGCTGACGTTCACCGTCGGCGCGCTCCAGTGCCACCTCGAGCAGTCTGCGGTCGATAGCTCGGTCTGGCTCGTCAAGGCTAACGGGGTGGACGACGTCTTGGGCTATGCGCTGAGCTACGTGGGCGACTTCTTGTTCATGGGCTCCGAGGGCGTGGTGAGGACCCTGCAGACCTCCATCGGCGCGCTCTGGACTACGAGTTCCCAGAAGATCATCTCCCCGGACTGTCCGGGAACCATTCGGTACTTGTCCATCGACATCGGCATAAACCCCTACCGCCTGACGCTGAGCCAACGCGAATACGTCAACGACATGCTGATGAAGTGGAACATTGCCCAGTGCAACAGCTGCCAGTCGATCAACCCCGACGATGAGATCTACCTGCCCTTCCAGCCCGAGGACGACGAGGAGAAGCCTGACCCTGATGATGTGCGCGGTGCGCAACGGATGGCAGGTGGACTCCTTTGGCTTTCGAGCCGCACTCGGCCAGACCTGTCCTACAGCGTCTCGCGGATCTCCAGCCATGCGACTCGGAGGCCGCATGCGTCCCTCGTTCTGGGCAAGGTCTTGCGGTGCTTGGCGGCTACCCGCCAGTTGGCGCTGGTCTACGTGCTGAACACCCCCCACGAGCTGCAGGACCTCATCTGCCAGTTGGACGTCTTCTCGGATGCCAGCCATGGCGATGCGGGCGCGCAGACAGGCGTCACTTGTTTCATGCATGGGCGCATGCTGGTCGACTGGCGCAGCTTGAGGCAGCAGTTGGTCTGCTTCTCGACGGCCGAGGCGGAGATGAAGGGTCTCGCCCTCAGCTGCCAGCTGCTCTACGGTCTGGAGGCGGTCGCCCACTCCGTGGAGCTGCAGACGACCGCAGTCCTCCACGGCGACAACCAAGCGGCGAACCACATCGCTGATGGTCGCGGCAGTTGGAGGACGAGGAACCTTATGACTAAGGACAACGCCATCCGGAGCCGAGTTGAGCGCGGCATGTTGGAGCTGATCTACGTGGAGACGGCTCTGATGCGCGCCGACGGGCTCACCAAGAGCAAGGGGCCCGACCACATGGCGAAGGTCAGGGCCCACTTCTGAGCGCGCACAGCGCCAGAGCACCAGAGGGCCCGCAGCGCACAGCGCCAGACCACAGGCTTGTGGGGCATCTGAGCGCGCGCAGCGCAAGAGCACCAGAGGGCCCCCTACACCCCGATCGAGCTGCGGGGTATGTCCTCCGATGTTGGGTGCGATCGGGATTGTCAGAGGCCCTATGCACGTCCCACTGCACAGGACTCCGAAGGAGGAGCGTGTGTATGGGGGGCCCTCCAGCCATGTGAACCAGGCAGCGTAGCATCGGCATCAGCAGCATATGGGAGAGCATGCTACGCATGGAATGAATTTGAGGTCCAGCACGCGTAGTTACAAGTTCCCGTGGTGCTGCCCCTATGTCTGAACAAGAGAGCACGTGCGATGGAGCCGGTGACCTTTTTGGCCTGCGAGCCGACCAGAAAAAAAACACCGAAGCTAACGTGCTCCGGCGGGCCGTTTCCGGAGCACGTTGGAACGTGCTCCGGCGGAGCGTATGTGGAGCACGCTGGAGAGAGGAGGAGTGATGTAGTTGTGACGTGCGGTGCGTGAGGCATAATATATCACACTTTTGGAAGACCTTTATCCCACAAGGTAGGACAACGCATGTTGACCGTGGGCCGACTCTGGCCTTGGTTGCCACGATAGCTTGCACCGCCATGTGTCTCAAGATCTCTGGGGGCTTAGCGGCAACGCCGCCTCCAGGGATGGGTTGCACTGTATTTTGCACTCTAGGTCAGCAGCTTCAGGCCGACTTTCGCCGTAACGCTGCAATTTGGCTCAAGATGGACGAGGAGAAAAAAGGGAGTCGTCAAGGCGAGGAGCAAGCCTCAGCGGCAACGCAGGCTTGTGACTCGCCTATCGGTCTCCACTGAAACTCTACTCCGTCTCCACTTCGACCTACCCATCTCTCCTGAGCTGTCCCATACTCTACTACGGAAGCCGTCCGTCTTCTTCGGGAGTTGGCGGCTGGAACGCCGATTGACGAGTTGACATCAGAAGAGCTATAAACAGAAGGTTAGACGGAACCTCATTACAGACTCCCTGGACCTCATTCCCCTCAATATTGTCATCATGTTCCCACATGGCTTCCATAATGGTGCTGGTTGTAATGATTATTCTACTGCGTACTCCCTTGTCGGACCTGATGGCAGACTCTTGCTGGAAGGCGTAACTGCCCCCCCCTTCCCCCCCTCCCCCCAGCGCGCCCCCTGTGGCGTCGAGGAACTGCCACGCCTGCCACGCCCTGGGGGCCTGCAACGCATTGGGCCCCCACCCCTAGCGCACCCCCTGTGGCGTCGAGGAAATGCCGCGCCTGCCACGCCCTGGGGGCCTGCAACGCATGGGGCACCCACCCCCAGCGCACCCCCTGTGGAGTCGAGGGAATGCCACGCCTGCCACTCTCTGGGAGCCTGCAGCGCATAGGGCCCGCACCCCCAGCGCACCCCCTGTGGCGTCGAGGAAATGCCGCGCCTGCCACGCCCTGCGAGCCTGCAGCGCATGGGCCCCCAATCCCAGCGCACCCCCTGTGGCGTCGAGGGAATGCTGCGCCTGCCATGCCCTGGGGACCTGCAACCCATGGGGCCCCCACCCCCAGCGCACTCCCTGTGGCGTCAAGGAAATGCCGCGCCTGCCACACCCTGGGAGCCTGCAGCGCGTAGGGCCCCCACCCCCAGCGCACCCCCTGTGGCGTCGAGGAAATGCCACGCCTGCCACGCCCTGGGGGCCTGCAGCGCATGAGGCCCCCACCCCCAACGCGCCCCCTGTGGCGTCGAGGAAATGCCGCGCCTGCCGCGCCCTGGGAGCCTGCAGCGCATAGGGCCCCCACCCCCACCGCACCCCTTTGTGGCGTCGAGGGAATGCTACGCCAGCCGCGCCCTGGGAGCCTGCAGCGCTTAGGGCCCCCACCCCAGCGCATCTCTTGCGGCGTCTAGGAAATGCCGCGCCTGCCACGCCCTGGGGGCCTGCAGCGCATTGGGCCCCCATCCCCAGAGCACCCCCTGTGGCGTCGAGGAAATGCAACGCCTGCCACGCCCTGTGAGCCTGCAGCGCATGTGCCCCCCCACCCCCTGGCGCGCCCCCTGTGGCGTCGAGGAAATGCCACGCCTGCCACGCCCTGCGAGCCTGCAGCGCACAGGGCCCCCACCCACACCCCCCCCCCGTGGCGTCGAGGAAATGCCACGCCTGCCACGCCTTGGGAGCATGCAGCGCATGGGCCCCCCCACCCCCAGCACACCCCTTTTGTGGCGTCGAGGAAATGCCACGCCTGCCACGCCCTGGGGGCCTGCAGCGCATTGGGCCCCCACCCCTAGCGCACCCCCTGTGGCGTTGAGGGAATGCTACGCCTCTCGCGCCCTGGGAGCCTGCAGCGCATGCCCCCCCCCCCCCCCCCCCAAGAACACCCCCTGTGGCGTCGAGGAAATGCCATGCTTGCCACGCACTGGGATGGGAGCCAGCAGCGCATAAGGCCCCCACCCCCAGCGCGCCCCCTGTGGCGTCGAGGAAATGCCGCGCCCTCCGCGCCCTGGGAGCCTGCAGCGCATAGGGCCCCCACCCCCAGCGCACCCCTTTGTGGCGTCGAGGAAATGCCGCGCCTGCCACGCCGTGGGAGCCTGCAGCGCATGGGGCCCCCAGCCCCGGCGCCCCCCGTGTGGCGTCGATGAAATGCCGCGCCTGCCGCGCCCTGGGAGCATGCAGCCATAAGCCCCCCCTCCCCCCACCCCCAGCGCCCCCCCTGTGCATTAAAAAAATATGCTAACTAGAACCACGCGCGCGCTTCGCGCGCGCTTAGGTTCTAGCTAGGATCGTCACCGTCGTCAAGAACGCCAAATAGAGCCCCAAGACGGCCCCAAGAACGCCCAAGAGCGCTCCAAGAGCGCGCCAAGTGGGGCCCAGGAGGCTATTTTAGGCGCTCTCGAGGGGCAACGCTAATTAAGGACCCCCCCTTCTTTGATCGATCTCCTCCAAGATGGCCCCAAGAGGCGCCCGGGAGGCCCCAAGAGGCGCCAAGATGGCCCCAAGACGGCCCCAAGAGGCCTCCAAGAGGCCCCCAAGAGGGCCCCAAGCGGCCCCAAAGGCTCCCCCGAGGCACTCAAGACGCCCAAGAGCCCCCCAAGACGGCCAAGATACCCCCCAGACGTCCCAAGGGCCGCCCAGACGGCCCCAAGAGCCGTCCAAGAGGCTCCCAACAGACCCCCAAGAGGCCTCAAGAGCATCCCCGAGGCATCCAAGAAACCCCCATAGACGCCCCAAGAGGCCTCCAAAGCAATTCACTATTGTTGCCCGCGCTGCTTGACTATACGTCTTTTCCTCCTCCCCCCCGTCAGTTCTCATGGGCATCGTTTCTGGATGGGCTGGTGGGGATACGCGAAGCGTCAACATTTGTTTTGCAGGCGCATGTCGCGGCTGGTGTTTCGCCCCGTATTGGAAGCGGAAGACGGCGACGCAAGCTCGCCCAGCTGCGGGGCGCGGGCGCGGAATTCGACGCCTGCATTCAACTGGGAAGCGGGGGCCAGAGTCGACGCGCGCGATTGCCGGCGAGGGCGGGGGGCTCGGCGCCTGGCGCCGCGCCGGGGGGGGGCGTGGCGGAGTGGGTGCATGGGGTGCCTTCGCGTTCAGTGAGCTGTTCGTTGTGAGAGGGTGCCCGCGGCCAGCGCAGTGGCCAATTGGAGGGGCGCGCTCGCGTCTCTTCCAGGCTCTTCCAAGGGCGCGCGTGTCGCTGAAAAATACCCACTACACTCGGAGCGACGGCCCGAGAAAGCAATCGAAAGCACAGCTGCGCACCCCGTCACAGTCCTCAAGGGAGGGAGGAGATCAGAGAGTGCGTTGGGATGTTGGAATATGGAAGAGGCCCGGTGGCCGACCAGCAGGGAGATTGACAGCGCGCGAGAAGGCATGAACGACAAGGGGCCAGGATATGGGGCGACGATGGAAGGATGTCCAAACGCGCAGAGGCGCGAGCAACGAGGAGGGCGGACGCGGGCACTCCCCGCGGGGCGCGGCCGCGCGCGCTCGCGCGGATTGCGCAGACGCGCGCGCGGGCGACCCCCCGCGGTGCCACGAGGCAGCCGGGAATAAAACAATTCAGAGCGGAATGGCGCGAAGGGTTGAGCGCTGCCTCGCACAATAAATCAACTGGCACGGCGCGGCAGAGACATCGGCAGGCACAACAGTGATACGTCTACAGGCTGAGCATCGCACGGTCCTTCAACAGGTCACAACCACTGCGCGCTGCCGCCAAACAAGTATGAGCCATAATCAACTGCTGCCCAACATCGCGGCCTTCCTTTCTGGCGCTGCGTCTACTCTTCGGGTGCAATCGCGCTGTTCCACCGCACGTTGCATACGCGGGGCACCGAGAACTCTGCCCCGGTCTCCTTGCGCTTCCCGGCGCATGCGATCTCAACGTTGCCGGCGTAGAAAAAGCCATCTCCTCCCATGTTCCAGTCCGAAGCGTACCCCGCCCACAAAGTCGCGCTCAGCGCATGGCCCGCCGCATCTTCCAGCGTCGCGTGGCGGCGCTGCTCGTTGCCCACAATGACGGGCCCGGTGCTCATGATGCGCGCCCCGAGGTTGGCGAGCAACGCCCCCCCGAAGTCCATGGCGATCCTGCTGATGGGAGTCGCGTCGGTAGCCCATGAAGGCTGACGAGGCCCCGCCGAAGGCCTGACGCACGTCACGCTGCACACGGGGAATTTGCCGCCGCTGGTGTCGAAGTTCCATGAGAAGCGGGGGCTCTCAGCTGCATCCTGCTATGCCCCGGGCCAGCTCGTCGTCGGAGCCGCGCGCGCGCGGCCTGCGCGCCTGACGCGCTGATGTGGGCATGATGAGCTTCACCTCCTCGCTGGTCGAAAATATGTAGCGACTCGTCGTCCACATTCCACAGCGAGATGACGATGGACCCCTCGCCGCCGCCCGGCTCCTCGCAGACGACTTCTCCCCTGTGGCCCCCGTTCAGCCGCTGATTCCCGTGGTTGCGGCTCATCGATGCCATGGCGCAGTGGAACTCCACC